GGCCAGTTCATAATTTTTTGTAAAGTCAACTCTCTTTTTTAATTTGATATGTATTTATACGCTGCTCTTTAGCTACAAACATGCTTGCCACAATGTAGTTATTCTTTCACCCAAATCTGAGAATATTTTTGCAATTATCAGCACCGCATGGCAGGATTAGCTGCTATTGAGATAGCACAAAAAGTCTCAAAAGCTTGGCGTGCCTTACAAGCTGAATGGAGAAACTCAACTAAAGGCACAGGAAAGTCTGGGAAGAGACTCAGGAGAAGGGAAAAACTAAATTCTGTTAGTTTAAACAGAGGTGGAGCTGGTTGTAGCACTAGCAGTTCCTCAGACACATCTACTTCATACAGTTTGATTGATGATAGGTCAACTGGACGTTCCATGATGTCATGGAACCACTTGTATTCATTGGCTGTCAAATGGAGACAAATATCTGAACCATGTGATCCAGTGGTGTGGATTAACAAGCTAAGGTACTCCACCTGCTATTAATGTAGTGAAGTTTAGTTAGTTATTAAAGTTCATTGAAATCTATACTTGGTCTCAGCATTTTAACAAATATCTACTACATTTTCCTAAAGTCTTTCCGATTTGAATTGAGTACACAATGATATTCTCTTCTTTTATTTTTGATAAAGAGCTCTTATTTCTTAATATCAACAATGATATTCTCTTAGTACATAAAGATAATAAGAATCACTATCTTCACCTCAAGCATGAAAAAAAACCTCCCTCAATTTGCTTAACTTGCTTCATTTGATCCTTTAGTTCTATGGAGTTATTTCCCAGCTTCTGTGTTGGTGTACTTCACTCTCATTTGGAGCACTCACGAAAAGAAGGATTCTAGCATATATGACTTTTGAAGTTTGGGTGAAGATTTTGGAGGACTAAAGACCTATTTCACTTTGGCTCGTCTAAGAGACTAAGACTAAAATCATTAATTCGTATTTAAGCCAGGATAACCAGAATATAGCATACTACTTACCACGTCGATGAGATGCTAGTGTATGAAGAGATCCCCCTCTAGAAGTCGTAGAGAAATTCAAGAAATGCTACAGGATCAATAAGTTTGATGGACATGTGTCACATCCCAAAATACACCCAGACATGACTGGCACCTGTTAACACCACCTGTCGGGCGAACCAAATATCCATACACTTGCCCAATTATCTAAGCAGTGAGAGCATTACGCGCAAGTCTAAATACATTAGTTGATAAAAGGAGAATAATAAATCCAACGAAATCCATAATCATACCATTGATTCAACGATCACCAAATACCCTCTAGCCCAAATCCCATAATACGACCGTGAAGCATCTAATAGAGTAAATGAGTTTAGCTGTCAGGCATGCAAATCCCAAGAAAGAAGATATATGCTATAAAATAGATAGAGCTGAAACAACGGCCTCCACGAAAGGTCTTTAGCTTTACTATAAAGAAGATATTGATTCTAATGTGCCGCTTTAGCTTTAATTTTTGCTGAGAATTCTTGTTTTTTTTGCATAGTGAGGAATTCAATACTGGATTTGGGTCTCACACTCCTCTTGTTCTCGGTCAAGCCAAAGTTGTTCGCTACCATCCCAATTCTCAGAGGTAAGAGCTTTACCTTTCTGATTAAGCGCAAATGTATTTCTTTACTATTATTTTTTGTGAAACATGGATACTGCAAATGATACCGATGCTATGATTGACCTTTAGAGCTCGTTACAGGATGTGTAATTGATGCTACCCTTGTAAAAAACTTTACAACAGCTTGCTACTGGCCATGAATAAAATTTCCTTTTAACAGTCAAAAGGCATAACCTTTCTTATTTGTATTAGCTCTTTCTCAAGGCTCTTATTGTCTGTCAATGTTCAGAACCTTGACTGTTGCCAAGGCTGTTATCAAGGAGAATAAATCAGTGTGCAACAAGGAAGACAGGATAATTGATCTTTCTGAACAACAGAAGTTGCAAGAAGTGAGTTTGTTTGCTTATGACCTTAGTTCATCTTTTGCACTGTTGTGCCTTTTTGACAGTGTATAGTTTTTGGTTGTTGATAATTGGTTTTCTGGTTCATGTCAAAATACCAACTTTATAGCATTTCCCATGACAATAAAACCGTCAAATTGAGAAATCTTTATTAGGCTGATTTTATATTGGTCACATTTCTTCCTTAGATGTTATCTGATGGCTCTCTGAAATCAAACTAGGTGTCCACTTGCTATGTTTACTACTTTTGTGCCATGCCTTTTTTCTCTTATGGTGGTAATCAACACCTGAACTGTACTTTGCAGATAATGGCTGCAGAATCCAGCTCTGATCTTTACAGAGTTGTTGGTCAAGACTTTTGGTTGGCCACCTGGTGTAACAGTACGGCACTTGAAGGGTACTTTTTTATATGTGGTCCTCTTTATACTGTATAACAGTATGTTACTCATGAATATTTTCTCTCATCAAGGTCTTTTTTCTAATTTTCCCTCCTTTCTTAATGCCTGATCAGGAAGCGTCTTGAAGGAACAAGGATCACTGTAGTGAAAATGTAGAACACCATCTAACCTATTTGGAATTCAACCTTTTGTGTGTGGAAAGGAGGGTGACTTGAGTAAACTATCGCTTAAACTAGTTCTAATTTTTCTTATTCCTGTCAACTTTTGTTGTTCCTTCCAGGGGTGAGATTGGTTACGACTTTGCAATTAGAACACCTTGTACACCTGCTAGATGGGACGACTTTGATGTGGAGATGACATCAGCCTGGGAGGTATCCTCTTGATTTATTATCTAGAAAGTCATTTTCTACTTCCATGACATAGTTTTTGGATATTTGAAAGCAATATAACATCAATGTAAAACAGTAGACAAAAAAATTCTTTAGAGGTCGTTTGGTAGGGTGTATTAGGTAGAATAATGCTAGTACTAAATTTTAGTACAATGTTTGGTTTCAAATCTCACCTATGTACTACTAATACCAGTATTACTTATACACCCTATTTAATACTATTCTTAAACATAGTAAACCATGGCATTAACTATATCAGTACCATTCCTATACTTATAAGTCATACACCCTATTCAGTACTATTCTTGATAATGCAATGCATGTTAGATTGCTAGTTTTAATACAACAAACCAAACAATCAATAAGAAATGATGTCAGCATAAAAAATCCCAATACTACTTGTCTTCGAACCAAACAGCCCCTTATAGTACAGTTTTTCATGGTTTATTCATCTTGTGCCTGCTCGGAGATGATCAGTGAAGTCTTGCAATAAGCCTATATTAGTCAGATTGGGAGTCTGTTCATCAGACTATTCTCTCACTTTTATAAATAGATTTTGCTAAGCACTGAAACAAGCAGAAGTAATGAGCCTTTTCCTGTCTGGACATAGAAGTAAGCATTATACCTGAGATGATCTGGGTTTTTGTGCAGTATAATCTTTCTGAAATGATTTGGCATATATTTCTTACTTGAACTTGTTTGTAGACCTACTATTTAGTTCCTAACTGAAGCTTTATCTATGCCCATTAATTTCCTATTGTTGCTTACTTCTGTTTGTGTTGCTCCCTTTTTTCCCCTCCTTTCTTCTGTTTATTTGTTCTTGAGACACACATGTATTTTCTGTTTGGTATTTAAATAATAGTGTTCTAATTAAGTTAACTAACTAGTGCGCGAATACTGGCCCGGACACCACGGTCATCAAATTTTTTTTTAACTAAGTTGAGACTTAAATGATAGTTTTCTAGTTAAGACTAAGTTGAACACAAAACTGTTATGCAGGCTCTTTGCGATGCTTACTGTGGTGAGAATTATGGGTCAACAGATTTTGATGTGCTTGAAAATGTGAGAGATGCAATCTTAAGGATGACATATTACTGGTAAGATATATTAACTTCTATTTGGTTGATGTCAAGGGAAGCATATGGTTCTCTTTAATTTGGCTGATAATTTTTGCAGGTATAATTTCATGCCGCTTTCCAGAGGAACTGCTGTTGTTGGATTCATAGTTTTGCTTGGATTACTGCTCGCTGCTAATATGGAGTTCACAGGAAGCATTCCAAAAGGTCTGCAGGTGGATTGGGAAGCCATCCTGGAGTTTGACTCGAGTTCCTTTGTAGATTCTGTAAAGAAATGGTTGTACCCATCTCTCAAAGTCAGCACATCATGGAAAAGCTACCCAGATGTCACGTCAACATTTGAGACGACTGGATCAGTTGTTGCTGCTCTGAGCACCTATTCAGACTAAGGGAGATACGTCATTTATTGGTAAGTTGCTGTACATACGAAGGAAACAAATTTCTCTACTCTATTCTGCTGGATATTTTGGGCTTGCTGTTTGTAGTTCAACAAAATTTGGAGCACGTCCTTGTGTGTATGGTTTCCCTCACCTCTCCAATTTTAATAGGAGTATTCAATTATACTAAGACCATGCACTTGACAAAGGGCAACTTCTTAATCTACTCAACAACGAGGTACGTGCACAATAGTATTGAAATGAGATTCTTCTAATCTTTTAAACCACCAGCACGATAGGATTGAATTGTCGGTGGCTAAAAAGACTAGAACCATCATTTGGGCTGTGGTGCTACACACGAGGATTGTTCAGTCAACTGTAGCATTATTGGAATTAAAATCAAAGGAATTACATAAATTTTAAGTGGTGGAAGTATGGGATACAGTACTAGCACGTTAACTCACAAGAACATGAATGCAATTTTTCTTTGGCAGTTCCTGTTCATAAGCCCTAAAGCTTCTCTGAACGTGTTAATATATTTCAGCAGTTCTAAGTTTTGCAATGCTTTTTATTTGTGAGAACTATGTGAAATGTGAGGCTATATTTGAGTGGATTTCTCTTAACTTTCCCATATATTCGTTGCATATAGGTTTCATCTGGGATCATTTATCTGGAGAAATTTCGCTGGTGCATTATCTGACTTGGTCCTGCTGCGGATGAATTGACGCGAGATGTTTTACATTATTAACATTCTCCTAGTGTACCATTACTTGTGAATTATTGTATTTTAGTTGTATTGTGTATGATCTGCCCTCTCATTGTTTCCTTTCTTTTAGATTACCATGTTAGATTTCAGGATAGTTATTTGAAAAGAAATGAATAAATGGGTTTTCTAGTCTTTGTTTGTTGTCCTTGTATTTTGTGTTTCTTTATGCAGTTAGACGGACCCGTTTCTTCTATAGTTTGCAGGGTGGTGATGAATGAATTAAGAAGTAGGGGTCAAAAGTCTCACTTTTTAGCCCATGTAATGAAAATGGTGGTTCTGAACCTCTGACCCCCGCTTTGCAAACTTTCCTCCATTTCATTCTGAACGGAGGCTAGTAATCATTTTCAAAGAGGCAAGGCAAATACAGAAACGAGTCGATATCAAACGCATAGTGAGAAGCAATAATTACCAGTGGACTAAACTATAACAAGTGCAAAGGAGAAAAAAAAAATAATAAACATAGTCAAATGCTCACCAGTTTTCAGCATTTGGAACAAAAACAAAATCTACCGGGTTAGGTACGATACGATACCTCAGCAGATCTATTCTAAAAAACTTGTCTGTTTGGTATCCATATATGGTGTATTTGTTTTGTTGTCTTGTCCAGGAGGACCATATCAAACCAAAAAGTACATTGTCTGAAAAGGATTTGATTAGATGAACAAAATCACATATTTCCTTCCCTCCTTAATAGGATTAACTTCCAAAAGTGTTTTTTGTTTCCACAGAGAAACAAAATCGTATCTAGAAAACGCAAGAGTATGTCGGTTGTAAGAATTGACAGGAAAGGGGAACTAACAGGTGGAATGTCACTCACACGGTTAATTCTGCATTTGAACAAAAGATATGAATAGCTTACTCCACATGAAAGAAAGACCCGTTCATGAACCTTAAAGTTCCTCAACTCGTAACGAGCTATCACATTTTTCTTGTACTTACCGCTCCTGTGATGGTTCAATAACGCCTTTGCTTCTCCGACTTGTTCTCCAAAGCCGTCCCTTTTTCAAGAGCCGATGCTCCTTGTCTTTCACCGGGGTTGGCATGCCTGTTAGAGGACACCCCCAAATATGTTTATTACAGATCACTAATTTTGCTCATTTTGAGTGAAATAGAACTTCATAATACAATCTGTGCTAAAGCACAACAAAAAAGAAGGATTTAAAACTCATAGATTGCTAGTAACGGGCATTTGCCTTAAGCTCTTATACGTTGTTAGCTGCAGTTATCTTTTACATGATCTAATAGTACAATTTAACATGTCAAAACTTGCGCTATCTTGTAAACTTTGGAGCACTAAAATAGGTAAAATACAAATTAAGAACAACAAAAATAATTCACTACTTACTTTTTAATAGTGCCTCTTCTATCTTCCCTTTCATTTTTCCACCTGCAAGGCGATGCTGGACCCTGGATTTATGAGTTCCATTGTCATCAATGTCATCTTTCATGGACTTCGCGGCATCTGCAAAAATCCACGTGGCTGTCATCTGCTTGTTCAACATGCGGATTGCATAGTATGGGATTTTCCTTGTGCTGCTTTTGTTTCCATTCAACTTGCTTCGTTCATTGATGAACATTAAGCAATCCATTAAACTTAGTCTAGCCAATCCTTTCATGTGATAAGCCTGCGATCTTCGCCACAGGCTCTTTATATGTGGCCTCATTTCACCTGATAAGCATAAGGCTCGAGTTGTATCACTAATAGCTAACTCTGCTTCTCCTAAAATTAAATGACATTGAGCTCTATTGCTATAAAGAACAATCCTTTCTTTTCTTAAGTTTAGTGGACATAAATCTAAAGCCTTTGTGTACTTGTTTACAGCTGCTTCAATCTCACTTGACCAAAATTTCTTGTTTCCTTCACGTTTTAAAACGGAAACCAAAAGCTCTGTTTCCTTCACTTCTTGTTCCGACATGATTTTATCCCTTTTCCTTTTTTCAACTTTCAAGTCCCAAATCTCTTCAATTGCCTTTTGTGATCCTATTTCGTCGAACCCCACTTGACCATATTTGATTTTAGCATAATCTTGCAAGAGTAGTTGCGTTATCATGTCACCGATTTTTCGTCTTCCTTTGATAGTTCTAAGCTCTACTAAATCAGCAAGAAAAGGAGCTGCAATGTTGGTTACTCTGTTTCTTGTTTTTGGATCCTTGAGAAGTACCAAAAGACTTTCAATTGCCATGAATTGCCATTCGTCCGATGATCTAGAGAGGTTGCAGATATTTTCTACGACTTGTTCTAATTGAGCAATGTTTTTTCTACCATCTTCGCTTTCACAAAGACTTCTGATTAGGCCAATGCCAGAGAAAGAATTCTGGTTCTGTAATCCACCCCATATATCACATAAATTCTTGAGAAAATCTTCTTTGCATATTAAATTGATGCTTCTTTTCTTTGTAATGAAGCAGTTGAGAAGGTATAGAGACCAGCATTGCATTTGGCAAGCCCAAGACTCTGCTTTTTTATTCTCCATTTCGAATTCTCTGAGACCTTTTGTCATCAAATAGCAATGATATTCGACTCTGTTTTCAGTTTTCTTGCACACAAACTCGCTATAGATTGTAAAAATGCATTTGGAAGCTATGTCCATGGCTAGTTTCATAATCTCTACTTCATGGACCATAATGTCTTCAAATGTCCTTCTATGTCGCGCAATGTGACCAAGTGCTCTAACAGCCACTCTTTGCTCGACCCAAGTTATCTTACCTCTTAAGAGGTCTATTAATGGCGAAATTACGCCTGATTTAACAGCCAAAACAGAGAATCTAGCTTTGTTCATGGTGTAGGAGCCAATGATATGAGCTGCATAATAAGGGACATACACGTTATGACCTCTTGAAAGCCATTTTTGGTCACGGGTGCAGCTGTTGAGAAGTCTAGCCATGCAATTAAAAACGCCGAGGGACGGGAATTCAGGGTCATCAGGTTGAGCAAGAGCAATATTCCAGAGGCATCTTAAGGTGAGAACAAGTTCCATATCTTCAATTAGATGCAAATCTTTGAAGCATTGAACTATTAAAGTTTTTCGTATCGATGGATCTTCTTCTTCCATTGTACCACACAACAAACAACTACGACGTGTACTGTTGCATTTCATGTTCAAATGCAGGGCAAAGTCTGTTTTGTTTTTTGCTGTTTGAGTAGTCAGAGAATGTTGTTGATGGAGTTTCTATGGCAGGTTGTTAGAGGTATTAGTTTAAGTGCACTGACTGGTGGGCAGGTAAGGATTCATTTTCAGAAGTAACTCTTAATCAAAGTGTTTTGTCGTTATTCATATATGTCCATCTTACATAAATATAACAAGTTGCAAACTCCCCCACCCACCCACACCTAAAAACAGAAAATAAACAAACAAAAAAAAAAAGAGAGAAAGTGTTTTGACAAACATGTGGGCTGAATCATGAGACTACTTGGTCCGACTCTGACCAGAAATTTTGAGTTGTGAGAGTTGTAGATAGACAAAAAGAGGGGAGAAACGAATAAATAGGAATGATTTTGTACCATTAGACAGAAGTACCTACTAAGATATCTCTACTGACGAACCATTTCAATAGTATAGGTGTTGCCTTGCCATGACGCACGCGGCACAACCATGACCAACCTTTTCTTCTCTAGGTATAACACATTCCTTTTCTAACTGAACTTTCCCATCACGATCTTTAATTCTTTGGTATGCTCTATTTATTATTCCTTTGGACTTTCTTCTTTCCAATGCGCGATATAGGTGGTGGAATTTATGATATCAAGGAGTTGTTTGATGTAAGGTATAAAGTATAATATTCTCATGATAAAATGTAGGATTATTTTATCTCAAGTTTGATTGAAGATATTAGATAGTTTTTGAATTATTATTCCACTATTTTTGTCAAGTAATGAAATAGATAGATTATCTCATACACAAGATAGAATAACTTACTCCGAATAACTTATTTCCAACGGAACGACCCCGAGGCCTAGAAGAGCCACCAAGGCAGTCCCTTTTTTTGACCTCATATGTAGTATCCTCGTGGAGTCTAGATTTAACTTGAAAAGCAAACAAAGCAATTGTTTACATTATTTAATGAACCAAGTACAAATGGGGTTGGTCTCAAGAAAATGCGGCTAACCTATGAAAGAGTTAATTAAAGTATCTTTTTGAGTTGAAGCAGAATTTGCAACTCACTTCAGCATTACTTTTGATGCCAAAAATAATCATTACAAATCTGGGATATAATAATACAAACATGCTTAGTTCAGATTTTAACATGTGTCTTTACGTCGATATTAAGCACTCCCTTGTTTACTTTATTTATTTTAATTACTATTTGAACACTTAAATGATTTAAAAAACAAATTTAAGTGATATTTTTAAATCATAATTTTTTTTCTTTTTGTTTTTAATATTTTAAATTATAAATATCAGAATTTAAAGTATTTTTATATAGTTTCTAAATGTATATCATCATATATAAAAAATGGGAATAAGCACACACGTATAACAACACACAACTCTACCTTCATAAATTCAAATAAAATGAAAATATATGGGGGGGAAAAGTAGGACATTGAATTGAAAAAATGAAAGCATAATTAATTATTTTTAAAATTATTCTATTATTACTTACAATTTAAATAAATTATAAATATACAATTAATATTTCTTGGGTTCGTGCACCGCACGGGCTATCGATTAGTAGTATAAAAATAAAAGGAAAAACTACATAACACACATACATCACTACTATATATACTATACTTACCTCTAATTTAATATAATTACACATATTACCATTTTTAATATTTATACCATATATTTTAAAAGATTTAATCAGATACACAAATTTCTTAAATATACTATTGGATAATTATCTTAAATTTAAACTCCTTAATTAATGGTCATTAACAAGACAATATTTTTCTATTCCCATCTGCCACCGTTCCCCCACCCCATGTCCAGCCGCCCACTTTCTTTCTTCATTTTCTCCCTCTTTATTCCTTCATTCTCTCAATACATGTTTGCATGTTCAAATCAATATTTTACATATAGGTTTGTTTTAATTGTTTTATTATTCTCATGTGGTTTTGTATAAGATTAAAATTCATAATGTTCTTAAGTTCAATTTTAAAAAGTTTTACAAATTAAGTTTTATATTTTTTTATTTTGTTGTTTCTCAAATACTTTAATGGCTGACCATTCTCAAAATCGGATGATTCTTGTTAAAGGTACTACACATTAATAATATTATACTAAATCAGACAACTTTTATTTGTTTATTTTTGCTCATGAATTTCTCATTGTAGGGACTGACTCTTCATCCATCAACATTTAAGCCGAGAATAGATCTAAGTATAGGAACGACTCAATCAAGATGGAAGAATTACGTCAAGTTTTAATAAACAGAATAAATACACCATTAGCTATGGAACAATGTTGGATACACATTATGTATCTAGTTAAGAGTTCATGTATCTGACTTAAGATTATATGTATCTATGAGAAAAAAAATCAAATGCTAAAAAGGGAAGAATTTTGAAATATTTTACTTTTTTTTTGGATTAATGATAAACAAATAGTCTACCATCGTGAATTGTTCCTATATTCGTGCGTTTCAGATACAAATTTTATGTATTGTGCTTATTATGTATCCGAGATACATGTTTTTGAATATAATGTATGAAACTAATACTTGATACATCAAATTAATAATAGATACATATAAAAAATACATGAAATTAAAATTAGATTATATAAATAGATACAATGAAATTAATACTAGACACGTATAATAAATACACTAAATAAATCTAGATACTTCTATGCTACATATGGACGTACATGTATGATGCTCATGTATCTAAGTGTTTAGTTGGTTGGATACATCATATATTGATAATAGTGCATCAAATTAATGGATTTATTAATTTAAGAGTAATAAAATGAAATTAATAGAATTACATGACTAAGATATGCATTTTATTTTTGTCTTTTATTATCAATATTAATGAATTTATTATTTCAAAAAGTAATCAAATGAAATTAATTAAACATAGATTCACTCCTTGATTTTGGCATTATATTAAGGGATTTGATTAATTTAAATTTTCAAAATTAATTTTCCATGTATTCTGAAAATCCTCAATTACTTCTCTAATTAAGGAAATCAATTACAACCAATTAATTTAAACAAATAAAAAATGTATCTCAGTTTTAAAATTCGACAGATACATGTATCTCACGGATTCTAACTCGTGTATCCTAAACATGAAATATGGTAGATGAAGTAATATTTGAAACTATCGAGAATTTTAGTAATTGGGACCTAAACTAGTGGAATTTATGTAGTTTGCCCTAAAAAGATTCACTCTTCCAATATAAATGGATTGAAAGCCCAACTTTAAATGATTTAACTTTGAAACTTTCTCTTTTATTATTGGTCTTTATCATTGGGCCCAAACCCAAGTAGTCTATGGGCCTGAACAACCAAAAGATGAGGAACAACCGAACAAGTATATCATTGAAATTATTTGGAAATCCTTTCACAATCAACGAGAGTCGTGTGTATCATCTCTAACAACATATAAGGTAAGTTGTTAAGTCTCTCTGTTAAAGAAATTCAATAATAACTCGTACGTAATATTTGAACATAAGATATTTAACAAACTTTTTATTTATTGGTATACGTCATTTTAAATTTAACATTGATATTATATTTTCTATTTCAATTTGTTACTTTCTTGATGGAATAGTATAAACATTTCATCCTTTGGTCTAATCTCAACATAAATAATTAAAAGAATCAAGTCCATATATAGAGAAAAAGAATTGTGAGATTATCAGAGTATCTAAGATTGCATCATATTGAATTCCAAATGAAGCAAAGTTTTTTTTTCTAGTTTTACAACACCCAATCGCATTACACTTTTTTACTTATTTAAAGAAAACAAAAGGAGAAACTTTTTTGCATAAATATACTTGGTATAGTTGATTTCAGGTGGAAGCAAAGGAAATTAAAGGCAAGTTTATGATTGGAAAAATTAGAATAATTGCTCTTGAGTGAGACATAAGGGATATGGTTATTCTATCCCTACTTACTTTCTTCTTCAACAAGTTCTAGCAACTTATACTATTAACGTGCCACGTCTCTTATAAAAAAAATATCCAAAGATTGCAGAAGCAGCTACTTTAGACAAAGAGGAATAATGGAATTAAGGCCTTTTATATTTTTTTTAAATTTCATTCTGTGAATTAAATGAAATAGGATTAGTATTAGTATAGACTATAGTGCTTTATCACCAGAGTTAGTATATATATAAAATACCCTTAGTTCGTTTCACATTCGAGTTTTATGATTACAAAATAATATTCTAGGGTGCAGTAAACTTTTCATTAACGGACTATAGTCAATACGAATTCAAATTTATTATATGAATATATAAGAAAAAATTTCTTATGATTTTTTTTTCCAACGTAACCTTTTACGTTAAGCCTCTTTAGTTGCGACATGCTCGGGCAAAGAAAAGGATGAGTTCGCCGGGAAGGAAAGAAACATAGTATAATACTTTTTCTATTTTAATTTATTTGTCCTATTCTTTTTAATATATTTTAAAAAGAATGTTTTTTAGCAACTATTTAATTTCAACTTTCTACATATAATACCACAAGATTAAAGAATATTTTGATATATTTGACATATATTTAATTAAAGACCTCAAGATTTAAAAATTGGTGTCAAATCAAAATATGGAACAAATTGAAATAAAAGACACAGAGGCGGACCCACACTATAGAAAGGGGGTGCACGTGCACCCGCTAACTTTCGAAAGAATCATATGGATATATGTATATCTATTTTGAAAAGCGGATAGAAATTAGGATATACTTAACAGTGCACCCATTAAAAACATAGAAGTGCTCTTGCGCTACTGGTACAAACTAGAGATACCATCCTTGAGCACAGGGTTCAAATCCAACAGAAGCCCTTTTTTTATTGTTTTTATTTTAAGTTTAGCTTAGAGCTCATATTTGAGCTATGTTTATATTAATGCACCCAAAATCTTCAAATTCTGGGTTCGCCTATGAAATGACATACTCCCTCCGCCCCATTTTATGTGAGGTAGTTTGATTCGGTACGAAATTTAAGAAAGAAAGGATGACTTTTAAAACTTGTGGTCCAAAATGAATGATATAAATTTGTGTGGCTATAAATTATTTCATTAAGGGTTAAATAGACATTTTATAGTTAAATTGTTAATTTATATAGAAATGTGTCATTCTTTTTGGGACTGACTAAAAAGAAAAGTAAGTCACATAAATTGAGACTGAGGGAGTAATAGTCTAGGCTAGTTACTTTTCAGCAACAACAAATAATAATAACAACAATAACATACTAAAAATGTAATCTCGTAAGGGGACTTAAAAATAATAGAATGAACACAAACTTTATTTCTATCTTTATGAAGTAAGAAAAATATTTCTAATAGACCCTCGACTCCAAAAGGTCTAGCCTAGTTATCAACCATGTAATCAAAACATAATTATTATCGTAAAATTTGAAATTTCTAAAATTTCACCATAACATTCTGAAATTTCATGTGCAGTATTAATTATCTTCGTTATAACGGCTAGAAAATCGAGATCGGGTTCTGTCTTATTAAAACTTTAAATTAAAAAAAAAAAAACATAGTGCAGGTTTCTTTCATACAAGACGCCGTGTTTTATTCTTTTTTTCTCCCAAAATAGTAAAAGATTAAACAGAGTTGGGGAATGGTCACTGTCCCTTCTCACTTCTGCCAAATCTTATAAACAAAGCAGCTGCTTCTTACAGCAACCATTGGGATTCACGCGTATGCTATTTAGAGTTTCTTCGAATCCCAAACATATCAATCATCATTCGCCATAAATATATGCCTCACATTTCTACTATACTCCAATCTTTTTTATGGAAAAGGGTTAAAATTGCCCCTAAACTATGTGAAATAGATCACTTATATCCTCCATTATATTTTGGGATAAAAAATAACCCCGCCGTTATCCTAGGAGACCACAAATACCCTCAAGAGTTAACTCCCCAAATTATTAGTGATGTGGCAAGCCACATGGGACTAATCCCCTCCACCTAAGCATTGCCAACTAAGATTCACTACAAAAAGAATTTGACCTTTAGTGGCGACCATAGTCGCCACAAAAGCCCAGAAATCGTCACTAAAAGTTTTTAACATTAAATTCTAATTTTGTGTTTTTTCTTCATTGTTTTTAAAAAACCAAAATGATATCGATTAAGTAGGAGTTTTAAGACACTGTATGTTTTATTTTTATGTCATAAGTAAACGTATAAAATGTACAATGATGCATTATATATTAGGAGATTTGAATCGAGAAGTAATTTTGATGTATTTTTCGTAATAATATTGGATATTTTTAATATTGATATTGCAAAGTTATTTATTTTAGAAAATTAGGTTGCAATCGAAAATTAATTATCATATTTTTTGGTTGAAAAAATAGGTTTTACTAGCGAATGGTTGTTGGAGCCTTAGTTGCCACTAAAAATCACTAATAACCTTTTAGTGACAATATTTTTGGGATTTTTGTGGGCAACTTTGTCGCCACTAAAGGTCAAATTCTTTTGTAGTGAATCTTAGTTGGCAATGCTTAGGTGGAGGGATTAGTCCCATGTGGCTTGCCACATCACTAATGATTTGGGGTGTTAACTCTTGAGGGTATTTGTGGTCTCCTAGGATAACGGCAGAGGTATTTTTGATCCCAAAATGTAATGGAGGATATAAGTGGTCTATTTCACATAGTTTAGGGGCAATTTTGACCCTTTTCCGATCTTTTTATAATAACGTCGTTTGTCTAAAAAAAAATTAATTGTTATTATAATGAAACATTGCCATGTATAAACAACATGTAGAGAGTAATAAACAAACAAACAAAAGTCTAGTAAAATTTCATGACTTAAGATTGAAAATAGTAAAATATATACAAATTTTACTTCTATCTAATAAAAATAAAAAAACTGATTCAGAAGACCTTCGGTTCAATCAAGTGAGGTGAAAGAAACGAAAACAAAAAGCTAATAGAGAATATATAGTATAAAATAATAGCGTTATAGCATATCAGATGGTTGTTGTACATAAATTTGATTGTACCTTTTTTTGCCCACTTGTATATCATCCAATTATTTTACTATTGGGTGAGTTGTCTATTTCTTTCCTTGTATCTGTCTTTAGCTACTTTTTTGCTCAATTACAATATATCAATTCAAAGGATTTAGCTAGGCCAACTGTAAAATTAATAATTCTGTGGTTCTATAGTATAATATGCCAAGCAAAAAATTGGACATAAACAAATTGTCATGGACCCATGTCCACCAATCATCAAATACTACCGTTACCCCCATCATATCATCCAGAACACGGGCACCTATGATTAAGTGAATATATAGATATAGGAAAAAAAAATTGACTATTTATTTTTTAAATAAGATAATTTTGTCCTTTGTTTTATTTTTAGAACAAAGATGCATTTATTAGTAGCTCAAACATACTACAGTCACAGTTAGTCAAATAGTTCAAATTTCTGTTTTGATTAACAATTGCTTCAGCTCGAAAGGAATATGGTCAATTTTTCTTATGAATAAGTCATAATACAAACAATTTTGTCATGTATTGCCTGTAACTCAAAAGCAAAATCGACCATTGGTTCATTCTAGATGGAGCAACAGTAGAAAAAGACAACAGTACAAAAAATGTCTCCTATTTTAATTTTAATTATCTTTTGCAAAAAATATCAAATGACTAAATCTGCTGTTATTTTTCATTCCCAAAATTTGCCCTCCCTTTGATTGTTATCGATCTTAGCTTTGACATTTGTCATAGTAGATCGAATCACATATGTAAATAAATGATCCAAATAATCGAGAAGGCTCAAATTAATATACTTATGAATAATTGAATAATGTTTAAACATTATGTAGCTTCCACCATATCAGCCAAATCTAACCCATGTTCTCCAAAGCCATTAATGGAAGGAGTATATCTGAAACAAAAGAAAATGACTTAATTTTATGCATCGATAGATGAACATAGGGAAAATATAAAATAAATCACTTATATTAGGTGTATATTTGGTTTTTTTTTCCTTTCTATTTTGGGTACAAGTGATGAGTTCAATTTAATATTGTGTTTTCTCTCTTATAGGCGCGACCAATAAGGCAAGGTCAATGTTGCTGTGTTTCAGTACTTCTTTGGTCACTAACACTAATTAAGTGGGAAATATTAAGAAAGCATATACACCCTAGCTCAGTTTCGCCAATAATGGTGGCATTTAAAATTCAATGTTCAAACCTCAGTACATCTAAATTTTAATATTATGACATTTTTAAAAATCTATTTTATGGATTTACCTGTATAACTGAAAAATAGTAATTTTCAAGGAAAAAAGAAATATTACGATCTAAATAAATTGAAGAGCCTAAATACTTTGTGAGATGGTGACAAAAACTTTTCGATAAGTATTTTTGTTAGAAAATTTCGATAAAAAATGGTTAACTATAAGAAATTTTAATTTCGTTTTCAAAAAGATTTTGTAAAAGAATGTTACGTGACTCGAAAATAGTTGGAAAACACCGTTAGGGTCCTACCATTGTCGGTGCCAATTACTTGTTAATCTTCTCCACAATCATCGCTTACGCGTATGGACTTGATTTACTCGTGACCCAAACGGGTCCTACATCTAGCCATGTTCCAGCTGTAACCTTTGCCTTCCATCGAAGACAACAAATCAAACCTCCAGCTGCAGAAATCACCTAGACTCTGCATAACCCAAAACACCTGACGTGGTTAGCCCATTACCTAATCACATGGCCTATTGGGCCCATTTTCTCCTTCTAAATCCAGCCTGTTAAGAGGTTCATTTTGTATGTTTTTGCATGGACCCACCCAGATGACGACCCTCCTCTAGCCGTTATGCCTTTTAACTTGCCTACTTATATGCACTTAACTTCACACTCTTTAGACACAATCAATACATTCTCTCTTTTTCTCTTTCTATATTTTCTTTGATTAATATTAGCCACCATGGATAGGAAATTTGTATTTTTAGTTTCAATTTTGTGCATTGTAGTAGCAAGTGTCACGGGTCAGACACCCGCTGCAGCACCAGCCAAAGCACCCGTAGGTGCTAAGGCTGGTACTACTCCACCCGCTGCTGCACCAACTAAGCCCAAATCACCTGCTCCCGCTACAGCACCAGCCTCGGCCCCACCTACAGCTGTTCCTGTTGCTCCAGTAACCGCTCCAGCCACTGCTCCCACTACCCCTGTTGTTGCTGCACCCGTATCAGCACCAGCAAGTTCTCCACCAGTTAAAGCACCAGCAAGTTCTCCACCAGTGGCTGCACCAGTACAATCTCCACCAGTGGCTGCACCAGTACAATCTCCACCAGCAGCTGCACCGGTACAATCTCCACCAGCTCCAGCTCCAGAGGTAGCTACACCACCAGCTGTTTCTACTCCACCGGCTGCAGCTCCAGTTGCTGCACCTGTTGCTTCGGAGACAACTCCAGCTCCGGCTCCCAGCAAAGGAAAAGGAAAGGGAAAGAAAAAGGGAAAGAAACACAATGCATCACCAGCACCTTCTCCCGATATGATGAGCCCACCTGCACCTCCTTCCGAAGCTCCTGGACCTAGCATGGACTCCGATTCAGCTCCCAGCCCATCTCTTAACGATGAGGTACGATCTCTTCCTAATTTTTCTTAAAAGTTTTAATCTTCTATTCCTGTCTGGATCATTAGTGCCAATCCAGATCCAGTTAGTAATACATACAACCAGTAACTGCTCATACTATAGTACTACAAGTTTTAGCTTATCTGCATTCTCGTAATTCCAAATGAATATGATTTACGCTAATTGCATACAGCGGATCTAAAGTTCATTTGCCAGAACTCGATAGCTTTGATCAAATCCTAAATTTATTTTTAGAAATTTAATTAATATATAACAATTCTAAGATCCATAAGTTCAAATTTCGGGCAATAATTGTATATGCATTTATAGGTACAATTGAGAACATTTACATTTTATTGATTCATACTAATTGGTATGAATATGGTGTCGTAGTGTATCTTAGCTTCGTCGGTGGGGAGTGACGTAGGTCAACCTAAAGACATTTACGTTTTACAGCTTTCATAATTTGGTCTTTTAAGGGCGGGTCCATCAGTTGTTCATGATGACTTATGAAGATGTGACTTTAATTTTTACTTTGACTTACCTTCAAATGGTATTTCTGTGTTGGGTAACCCGGATTACTCACTAAAAATGATTTTTTTATCATTTAATCATTATTTATATTTTTTTAGGCAATTAACACTTTAGGTAAATATTTCTAAAGCAGATAGCGATACTATAGTTAACTAAGGCTGATTTTTTTTCAACATTCTTTATCAATATAGAGCTATTTTTGTTATATTGAATGGCATATGGTGTCGGTGGAAGATCATTAATTAATGGCGTAGATATATGTATTAGCTCGCTGCACGGTGACAACGAAAAGATTCTTGCAATCTTCAGTAGTTGTAGTGTTCACTTCAAAACCCAACAGTAATAAGTTGGACAAAGAAACATTAAAGGTCACTAAGCACGAGGCAACACAATAATGTAGGATCAATCAATGCACATGCACGGCTTGTACTGTGTATTTGCATTATTTTTATCACTACAATACATATTGTGGATCTGAATTAATCTTTTAATTATTTATAAATTAACAAGGATATTAATATATTGTGGGGATCTAATGCAGAGTGGAGCAGAAAAATTGAAGATGCTGGGAAGTTTGGTAGCTGGATGGGCTGTGATGAGCTGGCTCTTGTTCTAAAGAGCTTAATTATTTTGTCAAAAACATATTTTGTCCAGTATTTTGATATTTGACATGTATAATTTATCTTTTGGTTATTTATGGTGCTTTATGGTCAAGGGGTCCTCATTTGGATCTGCTTAGAGATTTGGCCACATTGGCTCCTTTCTTTATATTCTTTCGTGGAGTGTAAGGGTCGAAGATTTGTCCTAGTCTTCACTACTTTACTCCTTTTGGACTTGCACTTTCCTCTATTTATATAGATTTCATTTGTTTATTTGTCGATTTCTCATCTCACAACTTACTCTGCACTCTGCTTTTAATGCACTTTATTTATTCCATTACCTTCCCCGTTTTAATTTGTTTGTGTTAATATGATTAGATATAAAGTTTAAAAAAATAAAAAATTATTAATATCAAAATTACTAATACAAGATAATTTAACAACTTTCCTATGCATACTCTCAAATGACTGCTTATTAAAATTTTGTGAAGGGGTATCTGTATAAAATAGTTTATTATAAGAAGTAAATAATAATACAAATTATAAGTACTTAGCCTTTGTAGCAATCATCTAAGTTAGTCGAGTTTACTAGTGAGTAGTGACAACTCTTAAACTTGTGAACGAGTCAAAAGCAATTCTAAACTTTATCTGTATATTAAACTTTGAATCAGTCTTGGGCAAAAGTAAATTAAAGTAACTCTAAACTTTATCTGTATATTAAACTTGGAATCAGTCTTGGGCAAAAGTAAATTAAAGTAACTTGTTGATTACTTAATGCATAAGAAAGAAAACCATAATAATTTAACAATAAACGTCTCTTGTACGTATCAACTTTATCATGCGGTAACGGGGTAAACATGAGGCTTCAACAAAAACCTTTTATACTCCTTCGGTTTAGGAAAAAAAAATCAAACACAACTCTTACCATGTTTCCTGATTTCAACAATACGTTTTCCACACGGATGACCCGGGATCGATTTCCCCCTCAATGCCTTCTGAGTCGAGCCTGTCGCATAGGGCATGCCTAGTGTGGATTGCATTCCCTGTGTGGTTTGCAGGCTATTACACAGTGGGGGTTTACCCAGTGCGCACAAAGTGCTCACCACAGAGTGCTCACCCGAAGGGCAGGGGCTATTGCAGAGATTGTAGCGGCTACGGGTTATCCTTGGTTTATCCAAAAAAAAAAACAATACGTTTTCCCTTTGGTTATATCTATTTTTATACATTACTCTTCGTCATCACTCACCAGTTCTTTTGATTTACGTATCTTACGAAAGAGAACACAGAACAACACAGCTGACGAAAATAAAACACAACTGATATTGGTAATTCGATTTTTAATCGAAAGCAGAGATTTTTTTAACGGAATTACGTAAATATACTTCAGTCATCTAGTCATACCAACATGGCTGAAGTATACATTACCTCACTTCGATAGTTTATGTTGTGTATAGGTATATATAGTATATATGAAATATACAGTATCTAAATGTTGTGTATGTATTTTGTAAACTAGATAGCCCAAATATGTCGGGTTGTAATTTACTACACAGCCACAATTGATTCTTGGCCCAATTGAAGGAATTACAGTTTTGTAGACTGAATTTGACACCCCAAAACTCAAAACTGATCAAGAGCCCCACCAGTTATGCATTTTTAAAGGCCACTAGTCTGTGGACTTTAGCCTAATATAAGCAGATTTGAATGCAAGAAAATAACGAAATCCCTAAGAAGTAAGACTCCTAAACAGAATTCCAAAGACAAAACTTGAGATTAGCAGAGAACAGTGTGTGTTTATTTTCCACCAAAATCTAAAACTGCCGGATCAATATTACAAGCTCTAACTAATTTCCCTAATGCAGGTGCTAAAGTCACTGTCTCAATTAGGCATACCCAAAAACATGGGTTGTAATCACAGCAAACCCACTCTTAATGCTTCATAGAGCAAACCCAACAATCCAACACTTCTTAATGGAAAGAAATGGGGAAGGCTATAGCTTGTATAAAGGCTAAATATTTAAGCTCCGACTAAAAGGATACAACATGATCTCAGCTTTCTGCTGATAACATATATCAATTATCTATGCTTGAGCTACTTTTGTTTTTTACAAACCAATTGGGGAAGGTAACTCCCCGTGAAATGAGGTATACAATGAAGGCAATGTATGCACCCGTAAATGCAACTACAACAGATGTAAACAACATCCCACTGACAGCAGAAGATAAAGAGTCCATCAAAAGATAGCCATTAATCAACATAACCAGCACAGCCACTAGCCATGATATCACCTAAAAGGAACAGAAGAAATATTAGATGTAAGCAGTATCAGAACCACTAAGCATGCAAAGTTGGATCACAGAGAAATTACATTCCCCTGACACAAATATTCATTCTAAGAGACCATGAAAATCCCAGACGATTGTGTCTAACAAAACATGTGACAGTATGTTTTGCCAGGCATAATTAATATTTATCTATTATTATGAAAGCTGATAAAATTAACAAGCAAGGCACTCAATCTGCATAACTATGCATCTACGCCTATAGCAGCTCCATGGAAACTATTCAGTCAATTGAATCAAGTGATCAAAATTAAATAAAATGTAGGAGATTTTATCTCCCAGACAAGTAAAAATCTAAAATGATGTTGAACCAGACAATTCCCACATCTTAATGTACTTTGCTGATACTCTATAAAGGTTAGCAAAAAGACAGGACACAATCAGACAAATAACAGAAAGAAGAAGGTGCTCCAAGTCCTAAGATCTAACAATGACACCTAATTCTCAACAAATATACCAGCAGATTCTGTCTAGGTCCAAGCGTATTTAGATTTCATACAAACTGGAAAAAAGTTTGGGCATGTCGCAACTTCAGTGGAGAAATGCACCATTTAAAGAACACAAATCAAAGAGTGGGACAAAAGGCACCTCTAACTTCAGCCCATTGTCCACATCAAAATTAAAAGTTAAACTTAATTAGGTATTCCTTTTCTTTTAAGAAAATCCTGTATAAATAACTATACTATATGGTGGTATCGAAATAAGTTAAAGATCTTGATAATTTAAAGGTAAAGATATTCTGATCCCCCAACCTGTTGTCAAATGATGAATGTTATTTTCGTGGATAAATTCCAAATTCAATAGGAGAAGAATTAAGTAATACATCAATTCTGACTTGTGAAAAAATCAGTTCACTCGAGCAGAACGTTTGAAGATACGAACATACCTTCATAGTAGAGCCAATCTTGAAAACACCCATGATTTCTTCTCTGGATACAAGACAGAGAAGGGGGATCAGTGCAAAAGGTATTTGGACACACTGAAGAACGTTAAGCCACTCGTTGAGAACATCTAATGATTTCTCAGAGGTGTCAAAAGCAAGAGCAACGATCAGAGTTGGGACGATAGCACAACTTCTTGTTATTAATGCTCTCTGCCATTTTTTCAACCTCATGTGCAGAAAACCTCCCATGATAAATTGTCCAGCATAAGTCCCAGTAATAGTACTACTCTGCCCAGCAGCCAACAATCCAATAGCCCAGATATAAAGGATGGGGAACGATCCCCCACCATACTTATCCTGAAGATATTGACCAGCATTTTCTAGGCCAATGCTATTGGCTATTTCACTACCATAAAATGACTTCGCGAACACTGTTGTAACAAACAGATTGATCATGAATGAAATTGCCAAGGCAATTGTCGACTCTATGGAGTAGTAGTTAAGTGCTTCTCGAACTCTGCCAATCTTACGGTTGTCAATGTCTCTGGACTGCACTAAGGCAGAATGTAGAAACACATTGTGAGGCATGATAACACACCCTACAATTCCCACTGCCTGCTTTATTGTCTTGGAGCTCAGTTTTGGAACTACCACACCTGCAGTTACAATTGATCAGGAGAATTTAAGGCGATGCATAAAAATGGTTTATGATTTGGACATTTGAAAAATGGCAGATATTAATATTGCAGTTATATTTTGTGCTGCATTTTCTCACCAACAAGAAGTTCAACTCCATTAGGTTTCGTCTCTCCAAAGATCCACGCAAATGAGACCGCCATAACTGCAATAAGGACGGCAAAGAGTGCTTCCAGCTTCCGTACTCCATAATTCTCAAGAAATAAGAATACGAAGCTGCATAAAAAAAAGATTGGAAAGGCGGTTCTTGAGCTCAATAGGCAATTAAACAGTCGACTAAATCATTATTCAAAGGAAAAGCGAAAACTGTTTTATAATAAAAGAAAAAGAAATGAAGGAACCACATATGGTTCCAAAGTCTTGATAATATACAATGCAACATTGGATGGAGACAATTATTTAAAAAAAGTCAATCATTCAACTATACTTCAATCCAAAACTAATTGGGCCAGCTACATGAATCATCTTTATCCATTTCACAGATCATTATAAAATAATTAAACACTATACTATAGTGCGTCACTATTTAACCTAGCAAAAGTATAACCATTTCTTCTCCTCTATCCTCCACTTCTCCATTAGTTATATTTAAGTACATAGAAGAAGTTACGGAATCAAAAGGAGGCAACAAGCAAAGGCCTTTCGTGAGTCAAAGCTCAAATGAATTACAACCTGTGTCTCAATTTAAGCGTCTTTACACTTAAATTGGGACAGAGCGAGTAGTATTATTTAACGATCAAAGCTTTCAAATGCATGAAAAAACAGAGCGAAAAAGTATAACAAGAGAGAAGAAAAAAGAAAATACCAATCAAGAGCAGTGATAACAACACCAGACCATAGAGGCAAGAACCCTCGACTCAAAATCTTTATCGCAATCGCACTTCCAATAACCTCTTGAATATCAGCCCCAATTAGAGCCAATTCCGTCATGACCCACAAAAGCAATCTAGCCCATTTAGGATACTCATCCCTACACAGCTCAGCCAAATGTCTAGAAGTAGCGACACCCAAACGAGCCGCTAAAAGCTGAACAAGTAATCCCATAGCCGTAGCCCAAAAGAGTAGCCATAGCAAAGAATACCCAGCGATAGCCCC